CAACCACATGAAAAGAAAAAGAAAAATGTAGGAGTTCTTTATTTTTCCTCTTGGTTGCATGTTGTTTCAATCATGACCACCAATTGAAATTACATGAGGCATAGTAAGGACCTTTCAGTATCTGAACAAGTCATAATATTGAAATAATTCCATGGAGATTGTCATATAGGGAAATAGATTTTGGGTTCACCAGAGCCCCCCATATGTTTATTTGAAACAATATAAACATTTTTTTTCTGTGTTTTGCTAAACCTTTCTCCACAGGAGGGCCACAACAGAGCCTGAATGACTTGAGGTCCTCACCCAAATTGTGCCTGACTCATCTAAGGACAGGGGATGAATTTTAGTGTGAAGACTTGGCTGACACTGTAGGCTACTCTCCATAACCTTGTTTTTTTTAAAAGGAAATCTGTCATCTAAAATATATCAGAACTTATTTGTATGTAGGAGAAATAGCAGACAAAGAGCAATTTTACCAAGAATCACTGAATAGATAATTTATACAATTAATCAAATTCCATAAAAACTCTTACGGGCCAACACAACAAAAATTAAAAGTAACTTTAAAATCTTAAGATTTGACATATACATCTTGCACACTAGAAAACAAATTCTACTTTTTGTGCCATAAATCAGAAGAGATAGTGACACACTTGTGCTTCAGGCCAAAAGAAGGATGCACCAAGGCCCAAAGTAACCAATCAAAAAAAAAAAAAAAGGTGCTTCTCTGTGCCCTAAGACACTTGAAAGATTGGCAGTAAAGAGAACTGAAGGTGCAGAGTATGTGTTTAGCACATACCAGCAAATGGACTCTTTTGGTGGCTTCTCTTATAGGGACACAGATGGGCAGCTCCCAGGCAATGTCTGGGTGTAGGTGTTTCGTGTATAAATGAATGAGATACCATGATATTTATCCTAAATCCACTCTTAGACTCAATCTCCCTTTCTAAACCTCTCTATCTGAATTCTCCAGTACCCTAAATACCTCAACATAATATTCTTTTTCATAGCTAAGTTAAAGCTCTCCAGTGATGAAACCTGTTGACAGTGTTAAATGTGTTAAAAATTACTAAAACTGATGTACTATTGATATACTATTGAAGACATGACAGAGAAGACAGAACTTGGAAAGAATAAGAGACTTGTTAGAGATTAGAGATACAATGGTATCCAGACCCACTGTGACCTGAATTATGCCTCTCAGTGATAGCTCCTCTCACTTCAGCTCCCTCCTTTCTTGGTCTCCCCTGCTACTCCCTCAATGAGCCCTGCTATATCCTGTGCCTTTATGCCTCATCTCTACTCTTATTTCACAGAGGTGGCCTCCACTTTACAAACTGGGTTCATTTACAAAAATATTCAGTCAAGCCCCAGGAGAGTTTGTAGGCACCTGATCTTCAGAAAACTACTCTTTTCTACCTGCAGAAGCTCTGGGCAAGTCCCTAATTCTCTGTATTGCATCATTTAGGATATAGGACTCTTTCAGCTTCTTGAAATGGCCTTTCTCACTTTCCATCACTATTAGAATTTTGGGGCTCAAATTTATCCAGGTAGACAAAAGTGGCAGGGAGGCCAGGTTGATTTCCAACATCCTCATCAAGATCACACCTTTGTTTATTCCACTAAGATCAAGATTGTCTTCTCCACCCTTCCTGTGGCTGGGACTCATCTGCATATAACAAAATCTCCAGGGCTTTGATCATAAGCCTTGTTTCTGTATCTACCTGTCTCATTGTCCATCACTCCACAATCCTATTATTCTCTTTAGGGCACAGAACTGTGTCACCTAAGTAGATGGGAATGAATTCATCAGATGTGGATTTGGCCAGGTAGAAGTACACACAGATCCCAGTGTCTTCCTTGAAGACCAAACTTGCCCTGTATTCTTGGGCTTCTCAGTCATCTCTGAAAGCCAGAGGAGGGAGCATGACCTTCCTTCAAGGCATAATAGAGGTCAAGAAGAGTGATCATTGGAAGCCCAGAAATGGGCAAAAATGCCTGTGATCAGGAAGGGATAAAATGGGGAAGAGGGGTTTCAAAGGAGCCACAATGTAAACTTTCCACCCAGGTCTGAAGAGAGTATTGAGAGTCTGCTTCCATGTTTTCTAATTCAAAGTACTAATGTCTGTCCAGAATTTGACATGTTCCAGAAATGTTTTTAGATGATGGGTATGAATATTTCAAAAAATAATGCAGACAAAAAGAAAAAAAAATTAAGCCATTTGAAATTTATGAGAGACCTGATTGAAAGGAAAGAAAATTTGTATCTGCAGAAGTCCACTGATTCATATGACTCATTCTCCCTAGAGTAAATTAAAAATTGCAGTCAGATCTATGCTTGTCTGATCCTTTGCTTCAAGGATACATTGTGTTATGGCATCTATCACATATAAACTGTATAATCTTCCTCCATATCTTGTCACCTGTAGCATTTTTCTCCTTTTTTCATTTATATTAAACTTATTTCAAACAATACCTCAAACAGAAATAGTATACCTATTAATGAAGTAAATAGATCTTTTGATGTGTGTGTGTGTGTATAGTCTTATTTCCTCAAACACTGTTCATTTACTCTTGTGAAAATCTCCAGTATGTTCTATTCTTGCTTTTGAAATAAAGTTCAATCTTGTTATCACCCACCTGTACAATGGTGCACCAGAATTTCTTATTCCTAAGTAAAACCTGTGGCCTTCCATTTCTAACCCCTACACTTTCCAGCTTATGGTAATTACAATTCTAGTCTAAACTTCTAAACTTCCATGAGGTGAACTCTTTCAGATTTGACATATAGTGAGACCTTTGTTCTTCTTCCCCTTCTTGTATTTCATTTAGCCTAGCATGCTGCAGCCAATGAAAGGATTTCATTTCTTTTGTTTTTTTCTTTTTTGTTCTTTCTCTTTTTTTTGGCTAGAGTATTCTATTATGTAAATGTACTTCATTGTGTCCATTTATTAGTTGATGGACACTTAGATTGTTTCCCTTTCTTAGCTACTGTCAGTAGTGCTGCCATAAACTTGGGAGTATAGAGGTCTCTTCAACATCCTGACTTCATTTCCTAGGGATATATGCTCAGCAGAGGATTGCTATACTTTATGGTTACTTGGCGGGGGGAGCTGTCTGATAATGTCTTTATACTTATTTATTTGTAAAGAACATTTGCTGTGTTTTGTATTTTTTATTGGCATATTTTTCCTTCAGTTCTATGAGACTTTAATGGCACTCACTTCTTGTCTACATGTTTCTTGTTAGGAAATCATTGTCAGGTGAATTAGGACACTCGTATGTGTTGTTTATTTCATTTCTCTTGATTCCGTTGGACTCTTTACCTTTCATCTTTGAAATCTGTATTATAATATGTAATGACAAGAGCTCAAGGGTCCAGGTCAAATTCAGGCACCCAACTAAATTTTTACCCCCAAGGAGAGACTTAACTCTCTCCATTGTGTGCTTCCTGGGGCTTTGAGAAGGAACAAGGAGGGTGATCCTGTGGTCAGAAATGCTGCAAAGATATGTCACACACTGAGGCCTCAGCCTGCCAAAGCAACACAGAATGGAGAGGGACCAAAGTCCTCAGTGTTATGAGCTGCCTACTGCTGAGGTAGACTCATGGCCCACGACTCCTGCAACCAGCCATAGACTCTTCTTGAGTCTGCCCCACCAGCATACAGTCTTGCTCTCTCTATGAGGTCAGTCTACATTTAAGGCCTCTAATTCCTACTGAGTTCAGAGTATCACAATGGTGGGCCTGGAATTGTGCTTTAAGACAAAATCCTGTTTCTGCTCTTGTGTCCTGTTACTTAGCAAATGGAGTCTTGATTTTCTTTCTGTGGAGACATCTTGGAACAGTTGGGGTGGAGACAGTCTCTTTGCTGCCCAACTAAACATAGTTCCTGATCTCCATCTGAGGTTACTATCATGGGAACAAGGATTGTTGGGCTCTACTGGGCACCTGCCTAGTTCTGAGTTTCAATTCTAAGGCCTGGACTTAATTACCTTTCCATTCCCCAAGAAGAATGTGTCTTTCTTCATGCTGGGCTTCTTAGATTTAGGGAATGCACAACTCTTATTTTCTTCTCTCTTTCAATGTGTCTTTTCTTTATATTATCATAAAAACAGAAACTCACCTGCTTTCTTTTCTTTTCATACACCTCATTTATTTTCTCCTATCAAGTTTTTTGGTTTCTGAAAAATGTTTATGTGGTATATTTGTGGGAGATCACTGAATAACCAYCTTGATCTGAGTCCTAAACTACATAATCTCATACCATAATAAATATGTATTAATATTTTACTATTTCCAACATTGATATGACAGCACAGTGTTAAATTCACCTCAGAATATGAGTTTATACAAAAATTTTTGGAAAACAAAACGTAGAGAGAATATACTGTTATAGATATGAAAGGAGAAATTGTGACTCACAGCATTTCACTAATGGTTCTCTGGCCCTTCCTACCAATAAACTAAGATTTTGATATTTGAATCTGGAAAGAAGTATTTTAACTTTCCTTTAATCCATAAATTTCCTTGTGATGTGTTTGATCCCTCTACCCACATACCTATTAATCTAGTGTAAAAATATCTTTGACTTTACATATGCAAGCACTCAATTCAACTGAGAGAAGTAGGGCCTCTTTCTTGTCTGTCCTTTGAAAAGTACTGCAAACAGAGTGTGTGTACCAACTTACATGTAATCCTGAAAATAATAAATTAGAGAAACAAAATTATGAAGATTGATTTTAAGTTGAAATACTCTACAAAAAAATCTTGTCAAGTAAAAAAGTTGAGAATGGAAGGACAATGTTACAGATTTAGATGACAGGAATAAATGAAGAGCATCATCCACTGCTATCCCTGAATCTGTGGATTCAGGGAAGGATCTCTTAGGCCTCTCCTCTTAGTCCTCTCTGGACAATTCTTTCYTTAGTCCCCCAGGAATCAGACACTACTTCTTGGAACCTTCCATTCTCTTAGATAATGGAGAATGCACTGACCATACCTGAGCAGATGACTCCTGCATCTTTAGAGTGCCCACAGTTGTTCTTTCCCCAGCCCAGGGCAGTGCAATTCCACAAGTAGGCCTCCTCTCCTGTGCACGCCAGCTCTGTCAGCCAGATGGGCCCCAATCCCTTTCCAAATTGTGCATAAAGCAARGCATTGAAGGCCACTCCACAGCCCAGCTGTCTGCACACCACGTGGGCATCTTTCAGGTCCCAACTGTCACCACAGACAGTGCCCCAGGAATGCTGGTGAAGGATCTCCACTCTGCCTGCACAGCGACTGCCCCCGTCCACCAGGCGGAGCTGTGGAGTCTCTGAGGAGAAAGAATCATGTCAATGGCTGTATTTACAAAGAGAACGAGAAGGGTTCTTTTTGGGGGGCAGGGGTGTACTGGGGATTGAACTCAGGGGCACTCAACCACTGAGCCATATCCCCATACCTATTTATATTTTATTTAGAGACAGGGTCTCATTGAGTTGCTTAGGGCCTCATTTTGCTGAAGCTGGCTTTGAACTCAAAATCCTTGTGCCTCAGCCTCCTGAGAAGCTGGGATTACAGATGTGTGCCACTGCGCTGGCTGATAAGAGTTCTTTTGTCATGTGGTACTCCCTCCTCCAACCAAGCAGTTGGCAGATCTATTTTCAGAACACAGAGCTTGCTGTGTAAGACATGAAATCATTCATTACACTWGGGCAGTAGGTAAGTCTCAGTTTCTACCATAATGTAGGAGAATTAATTGTGAAAGAATAAGAAATGGTATTAAACACAATGTAATCAAGTGAGTAATCTCATGTAGAAGTTATTATGTAGATCTGATCAGAGTAAAACTTGCTGTTGGTAGAGTTCTGCATATGATGTGACAAAACTATTTGAGAAATGCTGAGATTCATAATTTGAGTAGCTGAAAGTGTCTTTTCTGAATGATTTATAAGAATTAATGTAATGGG